GTGTGTGTGTGTGTGTGTGTGTGTGTGTGAGAGAGAGAGAGAGAGAGAGAGAGAGAGAGAGAGAGAGAGAGAGAGAGAGAGAGAGAGAGAGACCATCAAGTACAAAAAAAGGCAACTGCTTCCCGCACTGTTCCACTCAACGTTACAAATTTGCAATGACGGGACTATATGTCCCCAAGATTCTAAGCACTACAGGTAATTTACAACGACAACACTAAATTGCACGAATGGCGATCTACCATACATGACCCGCAACAACGTACAGGGATCGACCAACGAAGCCTCGCCGTGACTACGACGGCGCACCTACCAACACGACTGCAACAGGAAACCAGCCAACAACTCGCCCCCGGCTTCAAGGGACTCCACATTTGCACAACACACTTCCTAGTTGTTCGGCCGCTCACGAATGGCCTTGCTATTTCCAACAATGCGTGGCACATGAGTTTGCTGACTTCGTCTGATGCGGCATAGTGCTTCCTTTGCACTTCCACCTCCGCTTCCAACGCCTCGCACTGCCGGACCTGGATAGAGCATTGCCGCTTGCTTGCACTCTCCATCGCCGACGCCATTAGCTCCCCGTGTTTCTCCATGCATTCCGTCAGCGCCTCGAAAGTCTGCTGCCTCGTGCTCTTTCTTTTCCCATAACCGTCGGGGGTGCCCGTCGTCTGCGAAGAGCCTCGCGTCGACCCCTCCTCGCCGTCTTCTCGCCCTGCACCTCCTTCCCCGTCCGCCACCGATTCAGGATCCACGTAAGACGTCGAAGGCGGGCGCACGCCGCCAGACGCACCGGTGTCTGCCACGTTCTTCGAGTGGATGGTGTGCTTCATCCCAGTCGACCCCTCTATCTCGTCATAAACTGTGCGATCCATCGTGAAATTGAAGCCCCTGCTCGCCCTCTCCTTCGACGTCAACTGGAAAAAGTCGGCACCCCCTGACGGTGATTGAAAGTGATGGACTTTCTTGAACTGCTGCATTAGATTGTCCCACTTCTTCCCGCATTTCTCCGCATTCCTGTCCACGCCGACGTTCTTCAACCTTTGGGCGACGTCTTGCCATTTCCATTCCTGCGGTTTCATCCGTGCGTATGCGTGGCCCATCCCCTGCATATGCGCATCTTGGTCAGTTTTAGCCCTTATGAGGGCTATAATGTGTTCCACGAACCAGAAATTGCGCTTCTCCTCCGCATCACCGTCGCCTTCGCCACCGCTCCCCTTTCCTTGCCCTTTCTTCGCCCGCGGACGAGCATTGCGGCCAGAAGGCTTGGACTTCCCACCCTTACCAGCCATGTCGCTCTGCAATGATGGCGACGCGTGACCACCCCCCCCTTCCCCACACTCTACGTTGTTGTCGTCGTCATCGTCGTCGTCGTCGTCTGCTTCCGCCGGTGGATCGTCCGTCTCGTTCTCGTTCTCCCGGTCTCCCATGTGAAGACGCTCCACCCCCCGTGTGATGTATTCCTCTCGCCGCAGCCGGTGATCCCACCGCAGGTCCCTCCACACCTCCCACCCGTCGCGACCATTACCAACATCCAAGAAGTCGGTCCCGCCGTCGACTCCGACGCCACGGCCTCATGCCACTTCCGACGCCGCAGACAGGGGAGATGGCAACTGCATCCACTCCGGCCGACCCTGGGCGCCCTTGAACAGAGAGGCCGCCTGTGGTTGGGGCGTCGACGAGTTCCGGTTCGTTCCCGCCGTCTCACTCGCCAACGCCCTCGTCCTCGCTGATCGATCAACAACTGTCAACCTTCGTCGTCGGGGTGGGGTCGCACGAGCACTGTGCGCGATGGAGTTGTAGACCGCCCGGTGGACAAACCAAACGATAGGTTGACGCGGCCATCTCCTTCATCTTCGCCAAGGCCAGGCCGAAGGAGTTCAGTGAACGACTGCTCGTACACGCCGCCGCCCGTCCCGCACAGCTTCGTGGCTGTCCACTCCTGCGTTGATCCGCTGCCCAATGACACAGTTTGTGGCCGTCTCTCCACCACCTCCTCCTCGTCCGATGAGCTGGGGAGTGGTTGCAAGTGCGGTGGCAATGCATCATACCCAACCCGCTGGGAGGCCCTGCCAACGGTCGACAGGCTGCCCCCACACCGCCTCCCTCCGACCTGCTCCCCACCAGACCGGGGGATCGCCTGTCGTGCCTCCATCCTGGCATCCTTCATCGAAGACCTTCTTTTGCGTCGATGCGGCGGCATGTTCCCAAGGATGCACACGCGGAAGAGAACCACGAGGAGCAGCAACAGGACAACGAGGATCAGCAGCGGCAGCCTGCGGAACACGTCAGCCATGAAACAATCGACGACGACGGCACCAAACGGAAGACAACACGGGCGCCAACATAACAGCGGAGCGCAGTGCTGCAAACGGTCGGCCCGACTTCGCAACAAACCCCCGAGGACGTCTTCGGTCTCCCACGCTCAGTGCGTAATTGGGAGCTGGAGTGCGGCCTGAAATGTTCGTATATGCCGACCGTTGGGACATTCCCGCGGATTGCCAAACGCGACGACGCAAGACGGCACCTTCTGGACGTGGAGGATGCCGGTTGCCCGCAAACGGTAACCGTTGGAGTGAAGCCGAACGTTGGCGACCCAGCATGTCCGTCGAGACGCAGGCAGGACCACCGATGGACTAAATGGAATTGAAAAATGTCGTCAAAGGAGCTGCCGTCGACGCCCCGATTCTTCCGGAAGCTCGACCTCCGAGGGACCTCGGGAGGTCCCTTGGAGAAATCGCCAAAATGGTTGTGGCCCCGAGGAATCCCTGAGGAAATGTTTTCACATTTTCTTTTCCGCGTCTTCCCCGAGGATGAGTGGAACGAGCATTTCCTTGGGGAATTTCGGGCCCTGAGGAGTGTCGAACGAGGCCCTGACTCTGAACCTGCTTAGACAGGATCTGGAACCTTGGCTCGGACAAGAATACGAACCTTGACCACTTTTCATTTTTTTCTTTTTTGAGAAAACATAACATGGTGGCGGAGCCTATATCCTTCAGGGATAGGCGCCCTGGCGGGATGTAGGCGCCCCCAAGTTTCATGGCTCCGATTTTTTTTTTTTTTTTTTTTTTTTTTTTAACAAAAAACAACCCCCTCCAGTGCTAGTGGTGTTGGTAAAAGTAGACACCACTAGCACCTGGGGGGCGGCTCCATCTATTGGTGGGGAGCATCACCTGCTGGAAAACGGGTCCAGCGTCCCTTATACAATCTGAAACTGGATACATCAGAGAAGCATTGTGAGAGAATTCCTGCCAGCATTGATTACCCTGAGCTCCAAGGGATTGACTAAGCAGATTATTAGGAGGGAAGGGAAGCCTCTTCATCCAGAAACCGACGCCTGATACATCGCTACTCACTTGTTCCTCCTTTCTCCTAAGCCATGTGGAAACCATGCTAACTGGGAACCAAGACCCAAGGGAGTGCCAAGCTGGGTAAGCTCCGGGGATGAGAACCGCACTGCGCTAGTGCTAGCGCCCCGTTGTCGCCCGACCGACAAAGCTCGATTGTCCCGGCACGACTAGCGCTCGGGTGATTACTCTGGGGTTGTTGGGCCTGCGCGCGTGCCTCGCAGGGTGGCGAGGCTGGTCAATAGCCGCGTGGCACTCAGTGATTGGCGTTGTGGAGGTGCCGCGACACGGGCAGGGGAAGCACCGGCGAGTGGATGATTGTTTTTTTGGTGAAAAAGCGGCGCGGTTCTAAGGGGAGCTATGGAGACTACTATGGAACTACAACAAGGGGCCGATGACTGGTTGATTACTATGGAGAGGGGATGTCAGCAGCTGCGGGCAGTGGTGGGGGTGTTAGTGGGCCAGACGTAGAAGGGGTCGAAGGTTGATGTGGGGGAGATGAAACTGGACGAGTGGTTGGAGGCCCGAGGTCAAGATATGTTAGAAATTCTGTGGGAACTGGAGGAGGGGCCGGATCCTCGGTTTGAAGCATATCTTGATTGGAGACGACTCGACGCAAAGATGCGCGTCTGTCAGGCTTTATTTCGGGAGGGGCGTGACCTGCGCCGGCGAATGGAGGAGTGGTTGGAGGAGGACGAAATAGGGGTGGATGGGGGGCTACCTCTTGTTCATTCTCCTGTTGGGCGGGTAGGTGGTACGGTTGTTTCAGCTGATCAACCAGGGATAACAGAAGGGCCCAATACAACATGCTGTACTTTGGTGAAGGGGACTACTGTGACATCATCGCCGATACCACCAACAAGTGCAGCAACAGCGCAAGGATTAACAAGAATCACGGCAGAAATACCGTCACAAACAACAGAGGCAGTACTAATGGAAGAAGTGTTGGAGTTGGGAATGGCAAAGATGACAACCTCGACGGAGGCGAAGATGACAACATCGACAACGATGATGACAATAACAACAGCAACAGTGACACCGACAACAACGACAACAACGCTAACGACTGAAAACTCCATCACAACCGACGGGGGAAAAGGAGTGGGCAGTGAAGACATTGACAAGGGAATCAATCGGGTTAACATCAATGATATTAATGACAACAACAAAATGAACAAGAAGAAGAACGACATGGCCGCATCAACAACAACAACAATAACGGTGACAGATACAACAACAACAATAGCGTGGGAAGAAACAAGGGTTGCTATAACAAAGGACGCGACACGTGCAACACCAATATCGGTGAAGCGGGGGAGAATGTGCGGTATGCTTGGGATGGTAAGGTAGGGTGAGGGAATGAAGGTGAGATTGATGGTTGTCCCCCCCCCCCCCCCCCCCTTTTTATATAAATCTCTCTCTTTCTCTATCTCGGGGGGTGACGCGGAAAGGGGAGTACCCCCCCTGGCTCTGTGGCTCAAGCTCGGACCGGGGTTCGACTCTGCACTTGCCCGCGACGATAACCCTATCACCCCCCACACTCTCGTCAAATCTCTCTCTCTCTCTCTCGCTCTCCCCCCCCCCCCCCCATGCACCCCCCCCCCCCCCCCCCCCCCCCCCCCCTACCCGTTTTTTGTGCTTGGTTTGTCTTCGTTTGACCGAGCAGGAGTGGGATAGGTGATCTCCCTCGCGAATGGCATCATGCACATAGACTACAGCAGGGGTTGGGTTCGGTGTTTTCTGTGAGCTCATGGGATGAGGCTGGCTGGGGTCTGCTGTGGATATACGGTTGATTAGGTGGATAAGGATGTCCCCTCCGTTCGATAGAGTAGATAGGGCTCGAAGTTTCAGCTTGTATTGGGGATACGGTACATCAGTGGGTAGGGTTTCCCATCATCTGATGTATATGCTCAACATGCAAATATAGGCAGTAGGAAATTACAACACACTCTTGCTTCGGGATGCTGGACCTGATTTCCAGCAGATACATTCACATTTCTGTATAGGGACGCTGGACCCGTTTTCCAGCACATACGTGCACACCATTGTACAGGGACGCTGGACCCGATTTCCAGCAGGTGTTGCTCCCCACCAATAGATGGAGCCTTCAACGTCGGGGCCTACTTACCGGGGATGCTCTTATCACCTCGCTAAGTAGGCTTCCCGCTCACGAAGTTTTCGGGAAAAAAAAAAAAAAAAAAAAAGTCCAGAGACCCATAATCCTGCCTAAGTGCCATGAGGAAGGGTCCAGAGGGAGCCCCTGGGGGGCACCAGTGGGATCTCCTTTCGTCCCTCTCTTTCCTGGACATATAGATTATGGCTGGAGTTTGTAGGGGTGAGCTTTATATATATGTATACGTATGTAGATGCTTCGGAAGATGTTATTTTATGAGGGAATCTCTGCCAAGGAAAGAGCATGCGGCGGGAACGGGTCTGGAAAGGCCGAGGGTGGGCTGAGCAGGAATGAGGGTTCTATGTTAGTCCAGTCCTTGAAGGTTAGACGGTAATCTCTTATTTCTTCCAAAGTCCGCTGCCCCTCTCCCCTATCTCCACTCCATTCCACTTTTGCAATCCATCCTTCTCTTTCCCCTCCTACCCAGTCTGTGCAAAATGTTGCGATTCATCTCCTAACATCCTTAATTTGTGAAAAGAGATCTAGTTGTGCTTTCGTGTCAAACCACCTTTGCATAAGTTCAAACTGCACCTGCTGCTGAATCTGTTCAGTGATCTCTGGTTCTTCCACTCTCACCTTCTCCATGGCCAAGGTGAATCTCTGCTACCAAAGGGCACAGACCACCGCCCTCCTTCCAAGTTTGTACATATTTTCGACGAAGGTTGAGGTTGTCCCTACCAGAGGCCAATGACCGGCCAATATGGCTTGCCAGGACCAGGGCCAAGAGATTTCAGATTCCATTTTCCTCCATATGCGGTCCCACCATCTCCATGTATATTGGGCGATTCATACGGAGTGGCAAATGTTGGGAAATGGGCCCACGTCCCAAGAACATCCGTTCTGCTGGGAAACCGGCCCAGCGTCCCTCTGTTCTGACGACCCCTGAAAATAACATGTCAATAGACACCCTTTCATCTCCTTCCCCTATCCATGTGACGTTCAACCTCGCACCATGCACTGTCTCTTGGTCGGAGTGTTTAAAATGCGGAAAAAAAAAACC